GATACCCCACTACTCTGGCCTCCAGCTATCTGACAAGCTGGACTAACTAAAGTGTCACGGCCTCTGCAAGATGGCCCAAGGCACTCACCTCCAAGGAAGGCTGCAGTCTCCTCCTAGCCAAGCAGGGAGGTCTGTCCTTATCAGGAATCTGTCCTCTTTATTCACAACCATGTTTATGCAAGTTGTACTCACAATGTTAAAATTATATTTTAATTAAATATTATGTAACCAAGGAAGCTGAGTGCAAAAACTATGTTGCTCCCTCGAAGACCAAGAGGACTGCTTCAAACAGACTCAACAAAGGCAAAGTGCTTTAAAATGGTCAGATTGGGTATGAACAAGAGCATGAAGCATTGCAGGGGCTGTTTAAACTCTAGAAGGATGTGCCACTTAGTTCTTTGAAAGTCTCTTGAGTTCTCACTCCACTAGAAAGAAACAAATAGAAAATCATAAATGATGGCTGTGGCTTAAGCCAGAAAGACAATTTGGAACTCAAAAGAAAAGTCTTCAGCCCTGCATCCAAAAAAAGAATAAAAGAATCATATATGTGCATTTCTATAATAAAATTCTTAATGCATATAATTTTTATGATTCTCTGTTAATTTTACATTTCCCATTACTAGGTCCCAGTCACACTGCCTGAGAGATATAGAGATTTTTCAGATGGGTCCAATTTAAACATATCCTACTGTACTTCAGGATATAAATAGGACTGGGGGTGTGGTTCATAGGCCTGTGGATTTGATCCACAAAGTAAACACACACACACACACACACACAAACACACAAACACAACACAAACTAATTAGGTTCTAAAGCTTACTTTTATGTCATCAAAGGCACTGCCCACACTTTCTATAGTCCTTTAATTTGTGAAAATGTCCTCCCTCTTAAACCTCACAAAGTTCTGGGCTAACACCAGCCGTGGTGCCATCAAGTGTCTCCTGAGAGCCAAGAGCAAATAGCTTCCCCCCCTTATCCCCTTATAATCTCCAAGAGAGCCCAAGAGTAGTACCTGGCATAACGTAGGTACTCAATGAGTTCTACACGGGCCTAAATAAAAGGCAAGGAATATTTTAAAATAAACAAAATAAAAACCATTCAGAAAAACACTGAAACTGTTTTATATTTAAGTCCTTTTTAAACATCTCATATTAAAAAGTAATCTTTGATTTACTCAATGTAGAACCACAAAACCCTTTCGGCAGCCTCTCCTTTGGTTTTTTTGTAGCGTTGGGTATAGAACGCGGGCCCTCAAACAAGGTAGGTGAGTGCTCTATCACTAGCTATATCCCCAGCCCCAACAATACCCTTTTAGCAAGGCCTACTGCCCTGAAACAATTTACTCAGTGTTAGTGTAGGGTATGAAATCAGTTCTCTTGAAAAATGTAAAAACAGTCAACAAACAAGATAGGCTGGGAAATTTAGCACGCATATGAAACTGCTATAGTTGACCATTAAAAAAGGACTTTTAGGGCTCAGGATGTGGCTCAAGTGGTAGCGTGCTCGCGTGGCAAGTGTGAGGCACCAATGGGTTGGATCTTCAGCACCACATAAAAATAAAATAAAGATATTGTGTCCACCTAAAACTAAAAAATAGGACTTTTAAATATCACCTTAAGAAGCCACACAGTTGTACAACTGCCCAATGGTGCACACCTGTAATCCCAGTGATTCAGGAGGCTGACGCAGGAAGATCACAAGTTCTAAACCAGCTTCATCAACTTAACAAGGCCCAAAGCAACTTAGTGAGACCCTGTATCAATGTAAAAGATAAAAAGGGCTGTGAATGTGGCTCAGTGGTTAAGCACTCCTGGGTTAAATTCTCTGTATCAAAAAATAAAGAGACCAACAATCCCAGGTTTGGGCTCTAGGAATTTGTAAGTGTGATGGGTATTTCTAGGGGCAGCATCATTAATTGATTCCAATAAAAGGTCTCATCTCAAATGGTTCCGGTGAAAGCTGAGCTGACACGGTCTGCTAACCAGGGTAGGGGACTCCAAGTATGCTGGTGTGCATAAAAACCCCGATGAAAAGATGCAAATGAAGAATCTGGACAAAAGTGAAACCAAATATAAATGAATACATTTTTGTCTGATTCCATTCCAATATTTAACTCAATAAATAAGCTGAGTAGATATTTGTCTATCTACATATTTTTAAAGTTTATATATCCCCATTGGCCCAAAATAAGGTTTGAGGAGTTTCTAGATGTGAAAATAGGGGACTGTCCTATTGATGGTTACCTATGGTGAGTCATATTTGGTATTTGCTGAATGATGAAAATGAGTGCCCACCTATTAAGCAACCTGCAGCAACATACAGCATTCAGCTTTGCTTGGAGACAGCAGTACCATTCCAATAGATAGTAAAGCACCAACAGTCTATCTGGAAGTAATGTTTAACAGAAGTCTTCACCTGCCAAATTCATGGGTGGCTTAATGCGTAACACTCTTATCTCAGTCCCTTTTGCCTTCCCTATCCATTCTCTATTCCCTGAGAGGATGCACCCAGACCTAATGCTGTTACCCCAGACTGGTAACAGTAGTTTAATATGCAGAACTTCTGATTAACCAGAAGGATTCCCAATGACTGTTAAAAAGCAGTGGGGTTGTAACTCAGTGGTAGAGCACTTGCCTCCAATGCGTGAGGCACTGGGTTTGATCCTCAACACCACATAAAAATAAATAAATAAAAATAAAGATATTGTGTCCATCTACAGCTAAAAAATATATATATTTTTTAAAAAAGCAGTGGATATGGGCTGGGGATATAGCTCAGTTGGTAGACTACTTGCCTCACATGCACAAGGCCCTGGGTTCAATCCCCAGCACTGCCAAAAAAAAAAGCAGTGAGTCTGTTGGAGATTGTGCCTCAGTGATGGAGCCCTTGTCTAGGATTTTCAAGGCCGTGGGTTCAATCCCAGTGCTACCAAAAAAAAAAAAAAAAAAAAAGGTGGAGGGGCACAGGTGGAAAAATCAGCAGATGAAAAGCTTTATAGTATTATAATCTTATAATCCCTGCTTCCACGATATTTTCTTCTCTGTAAACAACCAAATATGACTTTGGATTTAATTCAGGCTTTTCCCAGAACCTGAACTTAATCCCTTTGAGGTGGACCCGTGAAGAAACAGCAGAAGGCTACACTTAGTTGACACAGTACCCATAAAGAAAATGCTTTCTAGAAGTTCCCTAAAACATGGCAAGTCACAGTCTGTGCGCCCCTACAAAATCAAAATCTAGTCAACTAAACATCAATTCCCTGTTATTAAGCATCATTACTCACAGTTACAACCTTCCAGCCCTCTGACAAATTCTAAAGAATGCCATAACAGGCAAAGAGTTCCAGGAGCCACCCCAAGGCTGTGCCTTTTGAGTTTCAGAGGTTATCTCTGAACCTCCTGGTCAAACACGATTCCCCCAACATAAACTAGGAGGGCATCATAAATACACCATTGCCAAAATGTCCCAGGGTCTTACTAGAGACATAGTTCCAAAAAATCACATAATTATTCAAACAGGAGGAGGTAACCTGCTTATTTGGCAAATAAAAATCTTTAATTATAATACCTTAAATTAAAAACAGCAAGGATAGGAAAGAAAAGTTTGCAAATCTAACTGGAGCATGTAGCTGGACTTAATCACAATTAAAACCAAAGGACAAAAATACCCCTTAGCAATGACCTCAAGTAGGAACATTCCTTGACTGTCCTTGATTGTTCATTCTTCCATATCCTTAGGGAAAAAAAGCAATTCAGCAATGTATGGCATTTACCTCAATCTCAACATCCAAGGGTTTAAGTTCTTGTTAGCAATGTTGAAGTGCTGAGTAATTCAGATGCTAGCATTTTCCCAGCAATTCAAGATTGTAGGCACTGGAAGAATTATGCACCACCACCAACTCCTTAAATGGTCAAAAGTAGAGGAATACGGCTGTGTTTTCTAAAACAAATGACAATTCCAACATATCTACATAATATTTTTTAACATTAAAATGTGTTTTCTTCATTTAGAGATATTAAAACACGCAGGTACTTTGTGTGTCACTCAAACCAGCATGGGTGGGCTGCCACCCCCCCACACACACACACTATATATATAGAGAGAGAGAGAGAGAAGTGGCAGAGGGTATGTAACAACATGGAAGAAGAACCTTTTGAAACCAAATCACTGAAGCTCTCCAGGGAAAATCTTTCTTTTCAAGTAAAACGGAAGCAGTGGAGACTGTACAATCTATGCGCACACAAAATGAAACCAATAATAAAAATTGAAAATAACGGCCCACATGGGAATGTAACCCTACTTAAGAGTCCATGGCTTAGTGACAGAGGCTGCCAAGTCAAGTCCAAAAAAAAAAAAAAAAACTCTGGGCCAAAACCCTCCTGGGGGCTCCAGTTTAACTCCTTCCCTCCTGCTAAAGGAAAAGTTTGTAGTCTTCAGACACCACATCCCTCTTTTAGCTCCCTAGCCAGCCTCACAGGCAGGAGGCCACTGACTTCCTGAAGCGATCAGACTAGGGGAAAAATAAGCACGAACTTTCCTCCAGGAGGTCTGAGGGAGGAGAGAGCCTGAGGGTCCAGGAGAAGATCACGGCTTCTGGGGAGATGGGACCAGAATGCAGTTAAAGGCAGGGCCTGAATGGGGAGGCAGTCAGGATGAGCAAGCAGCAAGCCCAAAGGCACATCCACCGGAACGGAGGATGGGGTGCTGACTCACATATGAACAGGTGGGTGCAGGGGGACCCACAGTAGGTGTCAAGAAGTTTAGGGGAACAGGGTGCTCAGGAATGTACCCAAGAATTAGCAAGTGAGAACTAAGAGAACATGCCCAGAGTGGCTGGAGGGAGGCAAAGTTAGAGAAAGAAGAGCAAAACAGAAGAGTGGGCCAACGCAGGGTCACGTCTGGTCTCCTCTGCCTGTCATCACTACCCTTACGCCCACGTGCCCACCAACACTCGCGCTCCCACACACCAAGCGCCAAGCCGTGGGGCAGATACCCACCTTTGCCACTGGAGCGCCCCTGTTAGTAGCCAGGTCGCACAGGCTGGCGGTGGCGTTGCCCGCCGCCGCGGAGAGGAAGACAGGGGAGCCCGGGGCGCTGCCCACCGCGCCGCCCCCGCCGCCAGCGAGTGCGGTGGACGCACTGGAGCCAGGGCGCGCAGGCGGGCTGCCGCCCGGGCCGAGGCGCGCAGGCGGGCTCCCGCCAGGACTGGCGCCCGCACGGGGCCGCTGGCGGATGCCGTCCAGCAGGCGCACCAGCAGGATGTTGGCGGGCAGCTCGTCCACGCCGCAGCCCACCAGGATGCGACACTCCGGGCAGCGAAGCTCGTGGCGCGAGCACACGATGCTCTCCAGGCAGCGGCGGCAAAAGGTGTGCTGGCATGGCAGCACCTTGGCCGTGGTGTCTAGACGCTCCAGGCATACGGAGCACTCCAGTAGGTCCAGCAGCGACGACTCGTCCATGTCCTCTCCCGTCCCTGAGGCCGCCCCCCGCCGCCGCCGCCGCTCTCCGGGCCTGTCCTCGTCGCCCTCGCTTTGCGCAGCAGCGGCGGCCGCCTTGGACGCGCACAGCCAGGACGCTCCGAGCAGCATGGGGGAGGCGCCGGCGCCGGCCACGCGCAGCTACCTAAGTCCGGGGGCCGGAGTAGGTCCCGCAGCGGGCAGCGAGCATCAGGACCGCGCCCAGGCGGCCGCTGCCAGAGAGCCGGGTTTCGCCGCGACTTCCTTCCCCCGAGGCTCTCGCCGCCGCCGCGGTGCAAAGTGACGCGCCGACCGGCCTGCGTGGCGGGGACCGGAGTTCCGTGAGCAGCTAGCCAACTCCAGCCAGCCCAGTCCGCTCAGTCCTTCTGAGCGCGACGCCCGCCGCTGCCGGCTACACCTGTCCCGCCACACGTCTGCCCAGCGCCAGGAACCGCGGATGCTGCCGGACACGACGCTCAGCCAGCTCTGCGCTCCAAACGGCTGCTTGAGGCCGAGAGCCCCGCGGCAGGAAGTGCGGGGAGCGGCCGGCCGGGTCCCCGGGGAGGCCGGGGCGCGGCGTGCGCGCTCCCCCGCGCTGCTGGCGAGCCGCACCGCCCCCGCGGCGCCTCCATGCGCCCCTGGCCTGCTTGCGAGTCGCTGCCTCTAGCGGGTTCGGCTGGAGCGTTCCTCTCCCTGGGCCACGAGCACGTGTGCGGGGGGCGCGCGGAGGTCACGGTCACTGCGCGGCACTGGGCAAGAGGCGCTGAGCCCGCTAGACTTCCTTTGGACTCGGCGCACGCCGGCGACTGGCCCTGCCCCTGAGGGCACCTCCGGGGTTCCCGGGAACAACTCCTAAGCAGGCACGGCCCTGTCCCTTCCGTAGGGCTGAGTAGTCTTTGGGTTCTCCGCAAGGCTCAGAGGGGGACGTTTCCTCCCAACGCTGCTGCGAAGGAAAGTTTGGGCGGCGTTATCCCGACTGCTTTCTTCGCCAGCGCTGGCGAACGGCTGGAGGACACAGCCGACGCCCAGGCAGGCATCCTCCCCGACGACTGCAGGGAGCGCTCCGGGTCCTGTTCCCTTTCCAGGCGGCAAACAGAAGTGACAGCTGCGGGTGTGGGTGGGGATGCCCCGTGAGGCAGGAGGGGAAGGCGCTCGGGTTTGGCGAGAACGCCCCAGGACTGTGCCGACCCTTCTCAGCAGCAGCCTGTCCTCTCCCGGTGGCCGGGGAGAGGCTAACGCCTCTTACCCCCGCACCAGCACCCTCTTGCCAGGCAACCGGCTCCGCGCCTCGGCGGCGCAGCTCCAAGGGCTCTAGCGCCCGCTGCGGCGCGATCTGGTGAACCGAGTCCAATATTTCCTCCCAAGGCGCAGAGGAGGGGGAATTCGCGCTTTCCTTCCCGACGCCCCGGTTTCTGGGAGCGTCAGAGCAACGGAAGTACGTACGGGAGGATCGGGAGCAGCAGGGAAGTTTGGCTGTGGGCTGGGGTCGGTGGCGAAGATTCCCTGCCGTGCGCTGCCCCCTCGTGGCCACTTTGTGTTCCCAACGCTCCCGGGTACCCATCTCTGACCCGACACCAACCAAGCCAGTTTTTGCCTGTGCTACATCAGAAGTGGGCACGCCTACGAATTGGCAGTGGGCTGTCCTGTGGTTTGAGTTCAGTGTGACTTTTCTGATTTTTCATGGAGAAAGTAATATTTTCTGGTGCTTAAATGCCAAGAATGTGCCTATGCATTATTTTATTGAATCCTCTAAACAGTCCTGTGAGGTAATTATTTTAACTTCATTTTACAAATGAGGCAAGGTGAGATGTACTGTTAAGACTTTGGGGGCTGGGGTGGTAGCTCAATTGGTAGACTGAGCTGCCTTGCACATGTGAGGCACCGGGTTCTTTCCTCAGCATAAAAATAAATAAATAAAATAAAGGTATTGTGTCATCTACAACTTAAAAAAAAAGAAAAAAGCCTGCAGAAGCATTTCGGAAAAAAAGACTCCTTAGGGCTAGATTTTATCTTTATATGAAGACCATATGCCATAAGAATAGAAGCTGTCTTGAAGGTATTTCTTTTGCACTGTAATATCTTCAGTGTCTGGGGCAGTGTCTTGCACATGGTAGGTGCTCAATAAATATTTGTGGGGTGACTGAAAAAAATATCTCGGTCTCATCACCTAGTTGTGACTTGAATATATATCTTAGCACCTCCATTCCTGATATCCTGTATTCTATCAGTTTGTGATACCCTGAAAATTTGGCTCCTGATGGCAGCAGATGGCCTTCCCAACCTAGAAGTCTCTCAGTAGTGTGGATTTCCACATACATTATTCACATCAGCGCTGGCAGCAGCATGAGATGGAAGTTATCCTTGAGCTGCCTGGATCCCATGAGGAAAGGAAATGCTCTGCTGGGTGCACAGAAGCACCCACCTGAGCCACTCTTGGGCCCTTGCTTGGGAACAGTCAAGAGGAATTTGTGAGAGGACCCAGAATGCTTGATCCAAGAGCTGGTGACAAGGACACAGGACAAGGGAGAACATGACAGGGAACCCTTCAGGCACAGGGAGAGGTTGCAGAGATCAGAGGTTGCTCCCAATGACACACCCTGGCTGTTACAATAAGAGACATCTTACAGGACCCCGAGCTAAGAACTGAGCCAGATGAGTGTAGATTGAGTTCCTGTTCTTCCTCTCTTAAAATGATGACTCATTCTTTCAGACTATGGCACCAGCTATCTCCACTTCTAACCCACATGCCAGAAAACATGGACCAAGCTCCAGGAACATCCAACTGACAGGCTTATCAGATGCTGTCATGGGCTAGAAGTTTTAAAATCCTATCACCTAACTTGGACCAGTGGTCACTTTCTGGATCTGTGAGCATTGGCCATAGGAGGAGAATCATGTAAAACCTGGCAGCACCTTCAACAGTAAAACAGAAAAGAAGTCAGAGTTGGCAGAAAAACAAGTGGCATGGTAGAGAGACAGAACAGATGCCTATGCCAGCAGCCCAGGATAGATCTCTGCCTTCAATGTCCCTTGTTATTATGCACAACCAAGACCAAGCAACAGCTGCTGAGCTCCACTTTGCCCAGACTGGTATGCTTCCACTTTAGCCCCTGCCACAGCACAAAGGCTGCAAAACTAAACATACACAGAGACTGGGCAGGGCATGTGAATTAATGAAACAGCTAGGCGAAGGCATCAGGGCATGAGCTCTCTGCTCCTTCTAAAAGGAAGATTGCTACTCAACACCAGCCAATCACTCCCTGTCCTGTGACCAAGTATTGCCACATCTTCCTACCTTCCAAGAGAGTTGGGGGTTCTGCTTTTTATGTGAGATCTCCTGATGTTCAACCATTGGCAACCAATTCAGTTCTCTAAAACACACCCTAATAGCCAAATAAAATAAATGTGCAGGCAAATTGAGCCAAAAACCATCAGTTTGCAACTTCTGGCTGAAGTAACCAAGCATACTATACTACAGTGTAAGCAAACTTAAGGGTGTGAACTAAATAGTTGAAGTATTACAAATACAGTTTTATGTTTCTCAGTTAAATTTGCACATGTTCAATAAGCCAATTATATAAGTAAATGATGGAAGACCTGGCTTAACAGCCATTTATATGAAAAGATCTGGGGAATTCAGTCGACCACAAGCATAATATGAGCCAATATGAGTCATCAATGTAGTATGACTGTCTAGAAAAGTAATGAAATCCTAAGATGTTCTAATGGAAGTTAAGGGGTTGGGATATGGAAAGAAATAATCCCATTGTACCTTGGGCTTGTCAGACTTCATTTGCAAGACTGCATCTAATTCCAGGTACCAAAAATTAATGACAGAATGGTAGGGGATCTGGAGACCTCATCCATGAAGTTAGGATAGAGAAACAGAGAGCGTCCATCCAGAGAAAAGAAAGCTCAGAGGGAACAGGATGGGTTAGCTAGATGTCAGGTTTGGGGCTGCCCTAAACCTGAACTCCTTAGGTTTGGAAAATTCTTCACTTGGTGATAATCAGATTATTTTTCCAGTGGTGGTGTGGGGATGTGATTCAGGTTTAGCCAGTCAAAATCTATGCCCCCCACCATCCACTGAAGAGTTGAGGGAGGAGAGCAGACACAGTCCATGGAGTTCCCACCACCACAGGGCAAGCAGGCAGCCTGCAGCAGTGGTACCCACAACCCAGCAGAACAGCCAGTAGCATCTTGAGGGGACAGACTGTCCTCAGCAGGCCAGGTCCAAGTGTGACTGCATTGATGAGCCTGGGTTGTGGCCTCTACTGCTTTGCTGGTCTTCATTTTGGCCCTAAAGATTTCCCTACTTTATGTAATTAGTTTCTTCTTCATTAAATCAGCCAGAGTTTGTTTCTATTGTTTGAAACTGGAAACTCTAATTGATACACATTATTTTTTTTATCATTCAGAGACAATATGAGTATTAATGGTAGCACCTGAATATTAATGGTAGTCCCTTGGCCTTTATGCTTGAAAGGCATCCAAATAAGCTGCGTAGAGAGAGCACCATTCATTCATTCATTCATTCAACAAACACCTCCTGAGTGTGTCCTACAATCAGGCAGACACTGGGTGACAGCAGAGTCAGAGGCAGGGTGGACAGGGAGTGAGTGGAGTTTGGCTCTGGGGCACAGAAATCCCCGTGGGACTGATTTAACCAAGTGACATCACTTCTCTGGGCCAGAGCTATGTTTTCTGCAGACTAGAAGATGGAAATGTCTCACCTCCTTAGAGATACGAAGCATTTGAAATCTCTGAGATTGAATAACAAATTGGAAGAAAAAAACTTCTTTTTGCCTTGTTATTGGTAGGTATGATAGTTAAGTTTAGGTGTCTATTTGGATTGGGGAATACCTAGAGAACTAGCAAAGCATTATTTCTGAATGTGTCAGTGAAACTGGTCTGTGAGTCAGAGGACTGAGTGCGGAATGTTCACCCTCCATGAGGACAGGTATCATTCAAATGGAGTGATTGCATTCCCCCTCCCTCCCTCTCTGTTTCTCTCCCATAACCCCCACTTCCTGAAGCTGGGACATTTTTTTCTTCTGCCCTTGGACATCAGAGCTCAGGCTCTTTGGCCTTTGGACTATGGGACTTAACACCAACAACCCTCAGGGTTCTGA